AAAAAAAAAAAAAAAAAAAAAAAAAAAAAAAAAAAAAAAAAAAAAAAAAAAAAAATATAGAGCTCCTTCCGGAGTATGCGAGGTACACACAAGGCGTGTAGCGTGTGTCTGCGCGCGCGCCCCATGATAACACGCTGGCGGCGGCGCCTCGTTCCGTATTTTCGTCCCTCCCGGCATCGGAGTCGTCCGCCGGCTCAGTAGCGGCTGTTGAGCCGAGACACCGGGACGCGCTCCAACTGTCACTACCCTCCCTGTACACTATCTCTCGGGGGAAGTTTCCCCCCCCCCCCACCCCCAACTTACGCGGGTAAGTCACGTGTGGGCGCGTCGATCCGATGCAATTTTCCGATCTCTTGTGGATCACCGGATATATACTCGACATTTGCCGCCTTGGATTTGCCAACTTTTGCCGTTTAATTGACAAAGTTTTTCCCTCTTCCGCGTACGTGAATCAACCCATTATCGTCATCGTCGACGGAGGTAATATTTAGGGAATGCCTCGGTCGCGTGTAAATCTTCCGGAGCAATCCTCGGTCAAGATGGAACTGCAACTGGCAGTCGACCTCTAACTTTCTTTTTTTGCTCTTCCCAAGAGAGAGAGAGAGAGAAAAAAAGCGTGGTGGAGAGGAAACAAAGATACATCCCTTTTGGGATCTTTTTGGCGAGGGATAGCCGGGCCCTGCTATTCATCTCCGCTCGGGTGAAAAGGGGGAGTCTGCCAGCCGTCTGGCCGATTGATAAAAGAGACTTTGGGAACAAAAGGAAATAAAAACATTTTTGTGAATACACCACAAGTTATTATTCGTACATTTGGATACTTTGTAATTGAAGTGTCGGGGGTGTTAATTGGCATTGATTAGCTATGCCATGGTAAGTACAGTAGTGGTGGTGTTGCCGATCATGATGATGATCCGATCGGAGTTGTGGTAGCTGAGAACGGGGAAGGGGATAATTGTACACCAGACGAACGAAATGGCAAAAATCGAGGATTCGCTGGTGCTGCTGGTGCTGTTCTTGTGGACTTTGGTGTCAGGTAACTTTTGTGCCTTTTTTTTTTCTTTTTTCTTTTTCTTTCACGTCATTGATTATTGTAATTTCACAAATTTTCCTCACTCAAAGCTCATTTTTACCGATCAAACCAACAAACTTAATCCAATCAAAAGCAAAGGTATTACTTACGCTTTCGATCGAATTATACACGTTCCGTGCGCAAACGACTGCCATGAAATTCACGTCAACTGTTATACATTTGCATAAAATAAGCATCGGGTTATCCGATTACGCGGACCATCATTTACTACCGAAAGTTTAAATTAATGTAAAATAAGCTGCCAATGAGTACACAAGGTATATAATTATCAAAGGGCCAGTGGCGTTTGAATGGAAACGGCATAATTATCCGATGTACTTGTATAAAATAGCGCGGGGGCTTAAATCGAGTCGTTTCACAATCGCCTTCGGTTCTGCATTTCAAATGAAGCGCGCACTGCATTATATTGTAATCGAATGCAACGCCGGGGGTCAGGAGGAATACTGTATGTCGTTGTAGCTGTTTGACAAATGAAGACTCTCTCGTCCCGTTGTTGATCATCGAATGCACCGTCGCAAGAATAACAACAATTATTTTTAAATTCAGTTTTTTAACGACAGGCCGAGTCGAGAGGCGTAATTGGCGCGATCGGCTCGACACGATGTGACGTATTATTCTTTGGTGCGGATATCCGTGTGGTATTTGAGCACAGGCGTGTTTGCCGGTCGGATTATCGAGGAGAGTCCCGTGTCAATAAAATTTCCGCGACTGGCAGATGTGTACAAGGGCTTATGCTCCTTAATGCGCTCGCCTACGTGTCTTTTCTCACGAAACCAACGCGTCGTGGTATCCGTGGGCTTGTATAGGCGGGGGCGTCCATGGATCGTCGTCGCGATAGTGGGTGTTGGTCAATATTGATAACGAGGACAGTGAAAACGTTATTATTTCAAGTGTGTGGTGTGCCGATGACGAGAGAGCGCTGTAGGAAACGATTCCACCGTGTGACTTTTCGCCTCTTTGTTGTTCTCTTCCACCTCAGCCCCTCTGTTTTTCTTACTCGTCCGCGAGTGGTGGAATCAGCTTGTATAGGTTTGTGTTTTTTTTATTCGATTTAGGACAACTTGGGCCAGGATTACGGGTAAAATCAGTCTTGAGGGTTACGGCAAACTTTATCATTAACAATGAAAAAAACGTCACTTTTACGGTAACTTGGTCAATATCATTTTTTTCGTTTCAATAGAATTTTTTTTTTTAACTCTACACTTTGCAGTTACTGTCTGATCCATTACAAATTTTCATCGTTTCGTTGTAGTAACATAGCTATTTTTTTCTTGGTTATTCCATCCCATATTCAATAAATTTATGGGATAGTACGTCATCCATACAATATAATTTAAAAAAGAACTCACTTTTGTCATATTTTCATAAGCTAGAAAAAGTTTTGAAATAACAAAAGTTATGCGTTCTTTAAATAAAATTTACTTTTTTTTTTTTTTTTTTTTTTTTTTTTTTTTTTTTTTTTTTTTTTTTTTTTTTTTNTTAAAAATTAAAAAAAAAATTTCTTCAAACGTATAGTTTAAACGACTAGAAATTTGTTTGAAGGTGCACGTTACGAGCCTTTGTTAACATATCTACATTGAAAAAAAAAAAATTTCTTCAAATAAAAAACGTATTTTTCGACATTGAAAATATTTTCATACTTGAAGTAGATATTTTCGTCAAGTAAAAACATGTACTCTTATTTCAAGAGAATGTTTACTTGAAACTATTCTTGAGCAAATATTTTCTTGAGTCTAAGAAATTTTTCTTCAATGTAAAAATGACATCTTTTGAGTTTTCTCTAGTATCCACTTGTTTAAATATTATCAAATGAAACACAATACTTTACTGTGGGATGTATGTTTAAAGGATGAAAAATATTTTTAAAACGATGACATGTTATGAGGTAATATTTATGTAAGTAAAAAAAAAAAAAAAAAAACAAACGACCTCTCGTGGACAATATAAGATATTGGTTTTTGAAAAACTAAGCGCTGAAAAAAAAAGCTCACTAAGCTTGTTATAAATCTAAATCAAATAGTCTCAAAGCACGTAGTTTTCTACGCAAGGCGTTTCATTTTATTTGATTTGAAATACAAGAGAACTTATGGTTCTTTCAATTTAGTTTGATCATCATAATTATTATTCATTAATATTCGCAAGCTTCGTTAATTCCAAGTGGTGTCCCGCTCTAATCAAACTTCATAATCACAAGCATGAATAATTCCAACGAATGCCAAGTTCACAGCGACCCCATCAATAATTATAATACGCTCAAAGCCGCATCTAATGCATAGATGCACATCGTAATCCAACAGGTGATAAAATCCGATGTTGCGCACGTGTGCGGCAAATCATCACCGCTCCTGAAAATATTACTCCGCGCTGGGAGCGAAAAATGGAAAAAAAGAGCTTGCAACAAAGTCCAAAAGCTTCGCTGCTGCCACGGCGGAGCTCCACGCGGGGCTTATGCTAATTATATACGGGTACTCGCGGCCGCGGATTATCGATCGGAACGCCAGACGCTCGGCTGCTCTCTTTCACGTCGTTTCGCCCGACGAGTGTCGATGAATAACCTTCCCGAGCGCGTGTGCACGTCAATTCGACCAGATGGACCCTTCTCGAAAGGCATATTGCATTGAAAAAAAAAAAAAAATGTTTTGGTGGTGATGCATTAAAAAGGATTCGGAGCAAGTTTGCGCAACGTAAGGTAACACATCCAAGTCGGATAATTGAAAGATAAACTCTACAGAAGTATAGAACCGCATCAGCGTTCGATATACGACGCGTTATGTGGAACTTTGTCGCACGTGTGCTCTAATTTCACGGGGTTACTCGAGAAATTTCGTACGTTCAATTAGAAGTTTTCTCGCAAGGTACATGTACGCATCGGAGTTAACAGAGATAATCTAAGTGCGCTAAGTGTTCCGCATATACTCGATGGCACATTTTTCTTTTCCTTCTTTTTTGTCAAAGTCAAATTCAATTTCGTGCATTTGAGAAAATCAATCGATGGATACAAATGAGTTTTGGTTGGGTGGGAAAAAAAAACGCACCTGAAAGTACAAAAGAAGGTGGAGAAATTGAATTTGACTTTGTACTTGCACTTGACCGCGATCGCACGCGAACTCGAACTTTACGTTTTCGGCGTCGCGTGCGTGCAATGGCTCTCTTACACATGTATACTTTTATCGGCTCACCATCTCTCGGCTCCCTCTATATCATTGCTTTTGACTACATTTGTACATCCAAGAGTTGATAACTCGTTGGCTTCTATTGATATTTCTTTATCTTGTTTGACAAGAATTTCTACTCGACGCTCCGGTCCGACTAAAAAGGAGGTTTTTTCTTTTCTTTTTTTTTTTTTTTTTTTTTTTATTCACGAAGTAAAATCACAAAAGTCATACCTATACCAGAGACCTTGAAAAAATTATGAGTAAAACGCGAAACACACCAAATAATAGTAACCATTCCAAGTAGGTGCATCAAAAGTGCAGAACCGGTACATATATATCACCTTGCGAATGAAATTAATTGACGTAACCGCGTGCAATGTATATAATACACTGCACGAATTCAGTAAATAACGCGAGGGTTGAGTAATACCCGTAATTAGAAAATCGGATGTTAATTCCACGTAATTGCCCTGCAAGCTGCTACTATCTAAGTACCCTTTATGAGGTTGACGGAGCGAAACCATTACAGCTAATTGTAAACTCCGCGTATAAACTCGGCTACAGCAAATAAGCTTGTGCCACTTATACAAGATAAGGGATAATCTAATTCCGGATGCTTGTAAATGCCAAACTTTGAGAAAACTGTTCTTCCATCCCGAAAAATCGATTTCGGTTTCCTTTCCTGCTCCAAGAAAATTCAAGCATCACCGAGCCAAACGCAGCATCGTCCGCAGGGCAGAGCCAAGCCCCATCGGACCTCGAGTCCTTCGCAAAAGTTTACACTCGACTCACGGGGGTGGCACGGCGGAGCCCGTTTTTACAGCCACCGTCACGCGAGCACGCCACCTTCGCACACACACGCGCGCTTAAAACAACAACAGCAGCGCAACGCTATATACATATATACACATATACCTATGTACATCTAAATACCCATTTGCGAATTTAATATCGATTTCCCCATTAGAGCCCGGGCACCGGAGAAAAACAAAGGTCCGGCGGATAAGAGACGGAGCTGTTTCGGGGTGCGTCGTGTATCATCCGTCTTTTGGCCTCCAGGCCGGGCTTTTAGCGAGTCTGGGCCTTTGTTCGGCCAAAGGGCCGGGGATAAAGGACGGAGGCTGCTGGCTCACACCAGTCGGCGCAATAATCGATTCCAACCGGCAATGGGGTGGTGGGGGGATGTTGTTTTTTTTGTTTTATGACTCCATCGTGGAAAATTTGAATGAAATTTTTGTTTAATCGAATTTTCGGCTCGTGACGAGGGGCACCGGGAGGGACGCGGCGCACAAAAACCGACGGGTCGCGTACGCGGAAAACGAGATTATACGCAAAAGAACGAATTTGTTTGACCCCGTGCGCGTGGGTGGCGGTGAAACCAGGAAAGCTCTCGTGGACTTTTCCCCGGGTTGGCCCAAGCACACGCGCTCTCTGCTCGGTTGTTATCTTTTTCATTCAACTTTGTTTTCCACAGCCGCCAAGGCGGAGAAGAAAAAATGTGTTTGTCCAAGGTTATCTCGGCCAGTACACGCGCGATACATCGGCAAACATGGGGCGCGGAGAGGAAAAGAAGAGAGAAATTTCAGGTATCCTATAAAGTGGACTCTCGGAGCGTCCGTGCACACACGCGCGTAGCAGTGTAGGTTTCAAAGTTGAGTGTCAAATGCAGATAGGGGGGGCCTATCGCTGCGGCGACTGTGTATATACCGGGGCGATACGGAACGTCCAATCATCGATTTCCGAGGCGCGTGTGGGTGCGTGACGAAAGAAAAAGTCGGTACGCCGGAG